CTTGTATTTTATGAATTTATTGATAATGTATAAGGTTAATCAATTTTAATATGACCAACCCTTTCCCCCTTTTGATTAAGTCGCAAACACTCTTCTGGATTGACCACATTCAAAACTCAAATACGAAAAGCAACATGACTTTTTTTAATCTCTCAACATTCGTGACAAAAAAACTTGTCAACAAAGTCTTCTTCTCTCATATTTTCCTTATTACTCATTTCTTCTTCTATTTCTTTTTTGTAGAGAATGGTATATCTAGCATAAATTCTGTTTTCCTTCAATAGAAATTGTTGACAATTACTACATTTTGTTTCTCTAAGTTTAGTCCTAATTTTCTCTATCTCTCACTGTGCTTTTTGTCTTTTGAACTTTTCAGAGCAGTTTTCACAAACATTACAAGTTATACTACCATCTTTGTTTTTAATTAGCCTAGGATTATCTCTGAATTGAGTAGCAAAGTTATTCTCTGAAGGAGGATAGGTATGACTTGAAACAATTATTGAAGAATCATTCCCACAAATTATACATTTTACTTTTTTTATTTCTTCTTTTATATTTTTATTCATTGGAAAAATTTAACAATTATTCTCAGACTCTATTATGGGTAAAATAAGTTCCGTCTACATAACTGTGTCTGTAAACTCTTACACGACATTTTTTATAGTTTCGAAAATTATAACTAGGATTCGTATATCCTCATTCGGTTATTATCTCTTCTAATTCTTTTTTTAATTGTTCTAAAAAATGAGGATCGATTTTGCCTCCACTTTTTCTTATATCGCAACATCAAGCAGTAGGTCATTCAAAAGTGCTAACATGATAATTACCACTAAGACCTAGTCGTATTTGTCTATCTAATCAACCCACTAGACCTCGAGCATCTTCAAGATCAATTACTGTAAAGGTCATTTCAGCATCTCGATTTCAAGCATAATCTTCAATTTCAACGTAAATTGTAGGATCTTCCGTAGGTTTCGGCTCATCCCTCGGTGGTGTATAACTCCTACTACTCCCACCCGGTTGCTCAGCCAAGTCTTTATCTTTTTTCCTAATTTGGTTTTCAAGTTCTTTTGTTCCCTTATCGGCTTCTTTAATCGCTTTATCTAATTCTTCATTTTGCTTATTCAACAAGTCATTTCTCTTTTCTAATTCACCAATATTTTCTCGCACTCGATTAATCTCATCTCGATTATTTTCAAAGTCTTGTTGTAATTCTCGTAAACGACTTCTATGTCTATTTAATTCATTTTGTGCTTCATTCAGTTCCCCTTGTAATTTATCTGCTTGTGCTTGTAATCTTCTCCTATCTTCTTCAGTTTTGGCATAATTAGCATTGGTTCGAGCTTGATTTACTTCTCCAGTTAAACGGTTAACTTTAGTTTCAGTGTTTCGAATATCATTTAAACATTGAGTTATGTTTTTTCTAATATCGGCGTTTTCTTTATTAATGTTCCTAATCTCTTGTTGTTTTCTTCCTATCTCAGCACGGTTTTCTCTTAACTCTTCACTTCTAACCCCTCGATCATTTTCATGTTCGGTTCTCTGATTTTCTAATTCTTGTCTCCTTTGGTTCAGAAAATCTTTTTCATCCTCTATCCTTTGAGCCAAATCATCTCTTCTATGTAATTCAGCATTAATAATATCTTCAACCTGATCTAAGTTTTCCATACTCCCACCACTTAAACCTTGAATGTATGGTTCATCAGGGTTTCTTAGTTTCCTTGCCATGTCTCGAATATTTTCTAATTCTCTACCCTCTAACTTTTTGGCTAATTTAGGATCATGAGCAATGCCGTTCAACATACCTGATAACTCTTCTGCAGTAGTAAGCCTAGCATATTTCATAGCCCTATCTTTTCATTGGTTTTGTCTTTCTTTTCATTCACTACTATTATCTTGGTGAGTTCCAATTAAAGTTTGAGGTTGCACAATAGGTTCATCATCATTAGTGCTAGCTGCCATACCTCTTCCTCCCGGACAGAAAACACAAGATCTAACTGGCATTTTTACTTTAACTCCATTAATGTTTTCCTCATTAAATTCTTCAAACATCTTTTTAGTCATGGGGCGAGTAACAAATTGTCAAACTACATTATCTACTTCAAATAAACGAGGATATCAAC